AATCTCAGGTTACATCTACAATAAAATACATGCCTTCAGTCAAAAGTTGGAAAACACTGGCATTTTTTGGGTTGCAGGAAGCACCAAATGCCGCAACATCGAGATTTACTGCTTGCAGTGGACATGGCACCTGTGGCCACGTGAGCTGTGGACATAATGGCCACGGCTAACGCGGCAGCCCCATTAATGTTTAAATGGTCATTTGGTCATGGCAGAGCAGCCCATCTTGCTCGCCTCCCAGAGCTCATTACAAGTAAATCAACCTCCGGCCGGTGCAAAGGCTCAAAGTTGTATATCGAAGATGGAAGCCAGTGGCCCTTCTTATTTTTTTCATTCTCGATTTCAGTTAGTCCAGAGGCAGGCGATGATGGGACGTAACTAAAGTAAAAACAAAAACCACATGGGAAAATATGGTATGGGGCCAATAAATCCAAATTGGAAGTTTTTGGTCTTAATATGGCACAAACGCAACACAGATCAACACCGTGTCACGTTGCGTACTAGGCAGAAGGAGAGAGCTGCTTCGTACGCAACGGAGCGAACAAGAATAGGTGGATCCCCGAAATAGCAGGCACTGAACAAGGTCTTGTCTATCAAATAATATTTATTACAAACGAAAAAACACCGTCAAAAGGAAAACACAAAACGCTGGTCAAAACGAGAACCAGGAATTAATGTAACGTGAGGAAAAGAAAGCGCTTGCAAAAAACGGCAAGGAAAAGATAAGACAATTTACTTCGAATAACTACGCGTTAAAGAGGATCCCACTGGGATGACGAAATGGTCGCGAATAGCAATAGAGTGCGAGATACGAAATACGAGCATGGGCAATAGCAGTGGCACGGCAAGCAATACTCCGGCAATGAGTTGACAGCCGGAGCGCCTACATATAGCAGGTGTAATCACAAACAAATGCACAACAGGTGTGCAGGTGGCAGAGTGAGCGCCTGCCACCTGCTGTCGAATACGGGACATGACACACCGAAAACATGCCGCAAATGAAACATGATAGTGGCGACATTGTTTTTCTTCAACTGGGCTTGGGGCCTTAGTCGAGGTCAGGGGTGTCAAACTCATTTTTGTCGCGGGCCACATTGTAGTTACCGTTTCTCTTGGAGAGCCGTTATGACTGTGAAACCATATAAACAAGTCAAGAATAACGGTTTACTCCACTTTTGTTTAAGTTAGTGTAATGAGTGGTTTGGCAACAAGAAAATGCTTACAAAATCTCTCTTATTTATTACATATGAGAAGTTGAAATTTGGAACAGATTTTAGAAATCATCATCAAAGCTGACATGTTTGATTTGCTTTCGCGGGCCATATCAGACGATGTGGTGGGCCACATCTGGCCCCCGGGCCTTGAGTTTGACATCCGTGGTTTAGTTGGAGGGAATTCTGAACAGTTCCAAAGAGCGGACAGTTTTAGCACAATGCTTTCAGCTTTCTGCTCGAAAACAACAACAAAAATGGCAGGAAAAGCCTCCTTGAACATCCAAAATGTTGGCAGGGGTTAATCAGAGGCCCTTTGAATGGTGGCAGTTGTGTGCTGACTCGCTTGTTAAATGTGTTTGAACGGTATTGGTTAATTCTGTCTATTGCCACACCCCAGTTATAAGCGGGTGTGTACACTTGCGCAACAGCATTGTTTCGGTTGTTGGTTGTTTTTACTTCCCATCTTTATATATATGAATTGAGTTGTACGGATTAGAGGTCAAAATAATGGTGGGATAAGTTTTGAAATGATTACAAAAACCTGGAATTTCAACTAGGGGTGTGTAGACTTTTTAAATGCACTGTACAGATAAGGTGTATACATCATTCGCTGCTTTTTTTTTTTTTTAGTTCAGTCAGTCAGTTTTGTTAGTTCAAAAGAAGACATAGTTTGTACTTTCATCTGTGCTTCTACTTTGGTACAGAGGTGTGTACGCTCGCCGCCTCTGGAGGCAGGAGCTTGATTCCAGTTTCGTCGCTACGGAAGGTATTACAAGCTCGGAATCAGATTACGGTACATCGTGCAGGAAAAAAACAAGCAGCTCGCGCCATGTGTGCGGCTTGTCTCACTTGTAAAGTGTTTGTACTTGCTGCGCACACTTGTCGTCTTAATGTGCTCAATAATTGAGGAGAGGAGCGTGAGGCTGATTTACATACTGTGCCGCAGCATCCTATCAGGACTTTGGAGAAGACTTAAGACTCGTTCCTCGGCGTGTTTACCTGGCCAAACAGCACCTGAGGTAGCAAGCTGTCGTTTATCCCTGCCCGTCCCCCCGGGAGATGGTACACACCGCGGGGAGTTGTGGGCGGGTATGTTTAGTGTGTGCGGCCACACTTCTTTTTGCGATTCAGCAGCTATTTGTGTCGCCGTGCCGGCTTTGCCTCCGGGTCCACGCTGATAAGAAAAGCCATACAGCAAGCGTACGAGCAGCGCTTCCAGAAACCGCCATTGTTTCCACAGCCGGTGTCGGAGGAAGATTAAAAATAATAATTCGCGGAGCCATTAAGGAAAAGCGACAACCCAGAAAAATGTGTAAACTTCGGCTTGCCGTTGAAGCGCAATGACGATAAAAGTAGTGCTGTAGGCGACGCCGGTTGGAATTTATGACTTTATATGCTTACTTTGCTGCTCAAGAGAAGACGCGGATGACTTGCAGAAATGCCCAGCAGGCTATTTTGGCTGGAAAGTTTCTGAAAAGCTAAATTATTAGTATTTGGGCCTGACCGAATCGTCAGGCAATATGTGGCCATTTCAAAATAATAATAATCGGCCAAGAAAAGTGTGGTTACAAGAAAAAGTTGCTCACATCTGTAACACTGCCAAAAAAAAAAAAATCCCCACGCAGACATAAAACCACGTCTAAGAGCATTTTCTTTCCGCAGCCGTTGTCGGAGCAAGATTTAAAAAAATAAATAAATACATTGCGGTGCCATTAAGGAAAGGCGTCAGGCCGGAACATGTACTTGTCGTCCAGGCACAACGACGCCACTCTGCAAGAGAAGATAAGCGTTGGGACTCAGGCCAAGCCTGTTTGTATTTGTGCTTTTGGGCAGACCGAGCTGACAAGATGTAGTGCTTTTCACCAGGCTAAAACTCTATATCATGGATGGGCAACGGGCAGCCGGCGGGCCACATTCGGCCCCCGCCCTCACTCTGATATTTTTTGGCGCTGGATGGGAGTCAACTTTACCTTTAATCACGGGATCGGGACAGTACAGGATAAAAAGTTTATGGGAGGAGATGCGAGCGGGATTATGTAGGCCTGTCACGCTGATTATTTTATTGAATTATCGCCCAATGAGGACAAAAAAATGGACACGAGGCGTTGATGTGCATGTTTGTTTACATACGTCAGCAACATTCAGCCTTGTCAGTCATCTTACTCGCCTCTCGGAAAGCGGGGGCACTCACACGCTCACATTCACATTAGGGGTGGAACAGCTTTTGAAATCTGGTTTTGGAACGGCAGTCAGTAGAGCTAATAGCCAAGTAGCGGTCATGCTAGCTGTTGCCTTCGACTAACCGCTATCGTCCGCGGTGCTCTTTTTTTGGTACAATTTCATTGCTTGTTTATGAACTATGGGTTCTGCGAACATTCACAAAATATAAAAATAAAATAGTTTTGTAGTTTTTGGGTGGGGAATTCTAAACATGTTTCCTCTTCTACAGGGGAACTCCGCATACTATTGGCAGATATTTTTGGTTGATACCCATCTTAGGTATTGAAATACTTTGGCCACCTCTGCTTAGCGGTGACATTTTAGTGGAGATTTTTGTAAATGATTTCCTTGTCATTAACTAGTTGTTTCACTCAGAGTCAGAACTTCGGCCATTGGACAATTTCCAATCACTGGGTTTATAAAATGCAGCGGCGTAAAGCGGGGCGCGCAACGGGAAATGTTTACTTGAGGGTCATTTTGGTTGTTGGTTTATTTTTTCCCTTTTGACGTTAACTGTTGGAGATTTATCAGGTTTGCTCAAGGTAGGCTAACATATGCACGCACACGCATTCATCATCGCACTGATGTACTGAGGAATGACCTCTGCGCTCAGCCAGTCAATATAGCTCAATATGTCTGCAGGCAGCGTGCCTCTTTTCATGAAGCGGTGCCTTGAAGGAGAAAAATGTCTTTTCTGTCTTGTAATTCATTTGAGGAGGTTAGCTTAGGTTAGTTTTTGTTTAACTTCCTGTCAACAAGTTTTGATATATAATCAGTCCTTTTTTTTTGAGGCATTTAACTTCACTTAATGTCACCGGTTATTTTTCTGTATTTTTAAAAGCAGTCATAGGACGTGCTGTGTTTAAGACCCCATGAATATTTTTTTTCTGATTTTTTTTTCCCTCAAAATATCACAAAAAGCAAAACTTTTTTTTTCTTGCAATACGACAACCTGTGATAGCACTAAAAAATAATCATGAAATTAAAAAAAAAATTTCCATCATTTTCATTTTCACTTCATTGAAACAACTGTATACATCATACTATTACCAATAATTAATGTAATTGTGATTTTTTTCCCACTCACACAGTTAACTCAACATTCTTCAATTCCTTTCTTTTAATATTTAGAATTATTATTATTACTCCATAATGTAATAAAAATTAAGACGTATTTTTAAGTTTTACTTTCTATATTCAGTCTTTGAACAAATGATAACTGCTTTTTGTAATCCATCCAGTTGGTTCCCTTTTTACGATTTTAAGATTCTAAATTGCATGCGTTTACTCCATGACTTGTTTTTCTTTTTTCTTTTTTTTTGGGGAAATGCTTTTGAATATTGGATAATAGCATGATTATTTTCAAATGGTAAATCAAAAGGGAAAGAGTCACAACCTCTCTTGACTTGCACCTGCTGCTACGCTCTGTTTTAAGAGCGCTGCTTTTCCGAAAGCACTCCAACAAAGACAAATCGTCTTTGCTCAACCAAACAAAATGTTCTGCCAACTGTGTGCTGCTTCAAAAGCTGTTTTTGTTTTGTTTCCCCCTTTCTGCTCTCTCGCCAGGGTCATCGTAGATAGCCAACTCCTGTCTGCCTCCCCGGACAAAACTTAAAAGAGATTTGCTTTATGTTTAGAGTTCATTCTTGCCAGCAGCAACAGCAGCAGCAGCAGCTTATGTCACGCACGTGAGCCGAGGCAGACACAAAGCTATGAAAAAGATATACATTGGCAAAACAGCCCTCAAAAGCCAGAGAAATGGTTGCAAACATCAAAAAAGAAGGTAAGACGAATCGACGTGTTCCTCATGACTGCGAGGGGGCTTGGATCCATTTCATTCACTGGGACGAATGGGAACAAATTCACTGTGGGGAGTCGCCGCCATTAAAAAGCCATTTCAAGCTAATGTGGCATCCTTTCATAGCCATTTGTCATCCTCGCCTTTCGTTGCAGATCGGCCGCCAAACCAACTCTTGCACGGGTCCAAATGCTCTCTGTATTAATACTTGCTGCTCTCTCACAAAGCAGCTGAATGGCAAAATTCACAACAGGTGTTTCGACATACTCCTTTTCAAACATCATGTGGGAGGAAGCTGGTGGACGTGCTATTTGTTACTTTTTTGCCCTTCCATCAGTTTTTGTTTTTTTTAGCACTATTTTTTACATTTGAATCAAGATTTATATGTCAATAAAAATACAGTGGTACCTCTACTTATGAAATTAATTGGCTCTGGAAGAAATTTCTTCACTAAAAATGTTGTAAGTAGAGACGCGTTTTCCATGTAAATGCCCTAATCCGTTCCAAGCCCCCTCGAAATTCAGACATCAATGTTTTCTAAAGCAGAAAAATGCATCGAAATATGTAACAAATACATGTTACAAATTAGATGATTGCACAATAAATGAGAGTTGTGCATAGTGTAAAAAACCAAGAATAAAGAATAAAAATGGTCATTTAACTTTTAACTGTCCTCATCGTTTTTTGCCCTCTTTAGTTCATGTTCTCTCTCAGACATGGTTTTTGCCTGGCGTTTAGTAAAGAACTGATTCACAGATGTTTGCTTTTGTCTGCTTTTAACAATCTTTCAAAAAGGTCCAAGGCAAACATCAGCATAGCGAGCGATCGCCTGACTGGTGAACACCTTTTCTGGGTGATTCACATTTATGTAAAACTATGCCTCATGGCCCGAGAATGACGCTGCATAGACACATATGTATCTATCTACACACTCCGACACATACGGTAGAGGTCCCTCTTAGCCAATGGGAGGCCAGGATGATGCTCGGTAATAGCCAATGGCAGAGCAGCGATAAGTTTGTTGCGTTCAGGAAACTCTGAGCTGCGAGTAGCAGCCCATACTGTATTTTAACCTTTCGTATCTTGAAATTTCTTATGTAACAAGAGGGAATAAGATAAAGATAAGATATCCTTTATTTGTCCCACACTGGGGAAATTTACAGCCTTCAGCAGCAAGATTGAGGGTAGAAAGAAGAGAAAAGAAAACACAGTTCAACTAAGTGCAATATAAATATAAATATGGATATGGTCAATAAGTTCAATTAAGTGCAATATAAATACAATAGTCACAGTACTATTCACATTTGTTGTCATATCATTTAAATAATTTTATGATGTATTTATTTATTCATTTTTTATTCAGCAGCCTGACAGCAGTCGGTAGGAACGAGCGGCGGTATCTCTCCGTCTTGCAACGCGGGTGTAACAGTCTCTGACTGAAGGAGCTACCGAGTGCTGTCAGGGCTGGCTGGGGGGGGGGGGGGGGACTGTCCAACATAGCTTTTAGCTTAGCTAGCATCCTGCTGTTGCCCACCTCCTCCAGAGTGTCGAGGGAGCAGCCCAGGACAGAACTAGCCTTCCTGACTAGTCGCTCCAATCTCTTCCTGTCCCCTGCTGCCTAGATAATATTTATATTTTCCTAGTTAGTAAGAATATTTTCCTGTTGAGGCGTTTCATAACTTGAACATTCGTATGAAGAGACGTTCGTAAGTAGAGGTACCACTGTAATTGTTGGGTTAATTCTAAATGAGGTCCAATTTAATCCGGATCCCTTAGATTCCGAGTGTTAAAAAAAAAAAAAGAAAAAAACATTAAAAATGTTTGGTCGATGGTTTATAAGGTTCGTCCACACTGCATTTAGTTCTGTGCACAACGCGGGGGTAGGGCGCAGGACGACACAAGGATGACACTGGCAAGGTGCTGGCTGTCAATCAGCCAAACCGTAAATAGCCTGTAGCTTTTTTCCGCTGGTGGACGACAGGTTGGCAATATGTAATTGCCTCACCATTTCAACGGAAAGCCTTCATGTCACAAGAAGGGTGAAAAAGAGATCAGCAAAAAGAAGGACATCCAATTGTAATGGCACAACAGGATCTGGGGGAGTTTAGGCTCGTCCTTGAGTCTCTCTTTTACCACATCACTGTATGTCATCTGTCTCGTATCTCCCAGCTTGAGTCATTCGGGCACCGCCTTCATTTTCTCCTCCGTGCTGTTTTCCGCTGTGCCAAAATCTATCTAGCTGTTTTCACTCTGAAATCGCTCCACCATCATCCCTCCTATTGGAGGCTCCGACAAGACGTCACAGTGCCGAGCTCCGCGGCATGGCGTTGCGCCCCTTGGGCCACGTCAGCACATACAGTACACAAAATGGGGCTGGTTGGCGGCATGCTGCGCTGCTCAAAGGGTCAAAATGTGGGAAGGCCTCAAGCTTTGGCAGAGGTCTGCGGCTCCCCGAGCCTCCTTTTGTTGCGGGGAAGTGCATTGCATAAAGTGCTTATCTGTGGTCCGACAGAAGAAATTCAATCATACCATAAATACCGCACACATTTCTCAGTATGATGCAGTACAGTTGCCGACAACTACAAACCACAAGCGCAGCACTCAACATGTTAAATAACAAACTCTCTGACAGAGTTCATAAAATGCAGATTATTATTATTATTATTATTTTTGTGACAGCAGAATGTGTGACACGAACCCCCTACTGGATCGTCATTTGATTGTACAAGTGTACCGCATGAACAGAAAGCGGTGATGTCTCTGACTCGCATAAGGTCAGTCAACAGTATTTTCCATTCGAGAAGAAATTCAACAGGAGGCTTGTTGTACAGGAAATCACCACTGCACCTCTGGGAGCTTGTTTCTCAGCACGGCTCCCTCCCTGTGAATGGTTCCTGATTAGTATTCCCGGGCTATCCATCTCCTGCATGGTACCTCTCTCGCTGCTCTCACTTCCAGACTGAATTACACTCCATCCACAAACAAAAACACACCTTCCTGTTTACTCCACCTCCTCTTCTCTGCTCGGCTCATTGAACAACTTCTTAACTTCCCGCTCACGCTTTGCCCTCTCAGCTCTTTCCACGACCACAAGGAGGACCTCCGCAAGCGCCTGTCGTACACCACGCACAAGCTAGAGATGGTGGAGACTGAGTTCGACTCAACCCGCCAGTACCTGGAAACGGAACTGCGGCGGGCCCAGGAGGAGCTGGAGAAGTTTACGGAGAAATTACGCAGGTGCGTGCAAGTACTGTCATGCTTTTCGAGGCAGTGGCGCTTGTAGAAACCTTGGGCGCCCCAAGCATGGAGCCCTGGTTAGCGTGTCGACCTCACAGTGCGGAGGTCATGGGTTCGATCCCGGCTCCGGCCCTCCTATGTGGAGTTTTCATGTTCTCCCCGTGCCTGCGTGGGTTTTCTCCGGGTACTCCGGTTTCCTCCCACATTCCAAAAACATGCATGGCAATCCAAGTTGTCCCTAGGTGTGAGTGTGAGCGCGGATGGTTGTTCGTCTGTGTGTGCCCTGCGATTGGCTGGCAACCGGTTCAGGGTGTCCCCTGCCTACTGCCCAAAGACGGCTGGGATAGGCTCCAGTACCCGCTGTGACCCTTATGAGGATAAAGCGGATCAGAAAATGGATGGATGGATGGATAGTGTTTTGAGTTACGGGCATGTTCGCGGTAAATGGTATAAATATAATTTTGAAATTAAGTAAACGTTTTCTTTTTTTGTGTTTTTTTTTTTTTTTTAAATGATACAACAATTGATTGCAAGTGATTTTACGGACCCCCAAGTTACGGCTCATGGACCCCCAGGGGTCGGGAGACCCGGATTTTAGAACCGTCAAGCTTTTATGACTCTGGGACAGATTATTTATTATTTAGGTCAACCAATGTCACCGAACATATTGTGTGTGACTCCAGAGGTACTTTATGTCAGAGGACTTGGTACATTTCGTTTAACTCAAGTATAAAGTCTTAAGTAGAGGAAGTCTGGATAAGAGCTTTCCCCGCCGGCTACATGTTAAATTTAGCGACATGATGGTATCGTCGGGGGAGGAAGAAATAATATTATACGACTTAATCTTCCGACAACAAGGAGCAGTAAGAGCCACACAGGCGCACACCTCTTATTGCTCGTCGCAAATGAGAACTCAGTGCCTTACTGGCCGCTCTCGCCGCACTTGTTTGAGCTCCATCAATTTAGCATCGACACCTCGTCCCTGCCTGCCCGACCACCACTGCCGCCGCCATCGCGACGTGTTCTTTTACTCGCCTCCTTCACCCTTCTCCAACCTCTCTCAGGTTGTTATTCCATCATCTTTGTCTGTGGCTGATTCATGGATTCATTAAATAAAAAAAAAAAAATAATAAAAAAAAACACACTGAGGTACCTAAAGAGGTGAGGTGAGCGAGGTTGTGAGTGGTAAAGAAAAACGCCACGTCGAGATCATGAGAACAAAGTGTGGCCCTCTTCTTCCATTAAGACTGTGCTAAGGTGGACTGTTAAAGAGTAGGGCATGAATAATTAATCAGCTGATGTTCGCATGTTTAAAATTGGCAATAGATTGGCTGAGTTTTTTTTTTCGGGGGGGCATTTTAAACATATTACCGGTAATATATTAATTACTACATAAGAGTATAGAGAAAAAAATAAATAAAATTAAAAGTAAAATAAAATCTGTAAAACATTTGCAAGCATTCGCCGCTCAGTGAGGCACGGGCTTAAGGAAAGTTATTTTATTTTTTATGTATGTTTAAAATAATATTTGGACGATTAATCGGTTATTGCAATGTAATTATGCCAAATATCGGAACTGGTCGAAAAAAAAATCCACATTGGTTAGACCCAACTAAAAAGCTTTGGAGCAAAGACAGAAAGAGTCAAACGGAGGCCTGTTTTTTTTTTTTCTTTTAAGAGAACAAAAGAAGAAAAAAAAAGAGCTCAAGCGCGCTGCTCAAACTTACTGATGTCTGCTCATTCAATATTTACGCATAATTCTTCCTCTGCTGGTACTTGAGCAAAGGATCAATTCACTCCGTTTCATCTGGAGCAGATTTCAAACTTGAGTCAATAATGCAGCATATGCCATCCTTTGAAAAGCGGGAATTGAAGTTCTGCCTTTGTTAAAAAAAAAAAAAAAAAAAGAAAGAAAAAACTGTATGTGCAGATTACTATTGTATTTGTGTGCACAAACGGGGCATCCGCTATGAGCTCTTCATATGTTGATCTTTGCATTCTAAGACGGCACAACTGTTTTGTTTCTTTGTTCAGGATCCAGAGCAGTTATGCGGCTCTGCAGAGGATCAATCAGGATTTGGAGGACAAGATGCACAGGACGGTAAGAGACTGACGTTTGTGTCCCTTTCTCTGAGAATGTTTTGATGTCATATTCTAGGAATTGCTTTGTTCCTTCATCAGTATTACGGTGATGGTGCATACATCTGTTCAAAGCATGGGGGCATTGCCCCTGGATTTCTATTTATTTATTTATTTTTAACTTTGGCAAAAGCGCCTCTGACAGCAGGCGTGATCCCCATCAATTCACTTTGCTCCACGGAGCAACTCGTTTCACGAGTACACGCATTAAGTCGGGCGAATTTGGTTTGAAGCTGCCATTTTTAGGGTCATTTTAGCCATTGAGAGAGATGCATGGTGGGAAATGATCGAAAACTATTTCAGCGAAGGGTTGCTGCGCTCACCTGAGGGAATGTCATCCAATCACATTAGGGGGAGAATTTTAAGCCCCCCTCGCCGCTCCCCCGCAACAAGCTCAAGAAGCCTAAATGATGAGCTGGGGCCCCTACAAGCTAGCTCCATCCATGTGACTCGAGCATCTCGATTCAAGTGGATCGTAATCTCATCACGAGTTTGATACACGGGGGAGCTTGGCGGCCCCGCCACACGCACGGCGATGGAAAGGGACTGTGGGAAATGATAAGCCGGTCGCGGGAATATTGACCCACGACAAGCAAAACGGGCTAACGGGGTGGGGGGAGGGGAGGGGGGCGGTCATCTGATTTGTCCTCGCTTTCATGTCCGAATTCGATAGAGTCCGCCGTGCTAAAGGCTTGTTCAAAGAAGCAGCGTGGATCAATTGGATTTGTCAGGTTGTCATAGCAACACATTTTTTGATTGTACTTGTTTTGAGCCAGAAAAAAGGAACAAAAAAGATCACATGAATATTTGCGGAAAAATGTCAGATAATGAAGCTCATTTGCTTAAACGATCCGTCTTAGTGGGCGGCCAGGTGGTCCAATAGTTAGCGCGTCGACCACACAGTCGGATAAAGCGGTTCTGAAAATGGATGGATGGATCGATCGGTCTTAGCCAGATCGGAAAAAACATCACAATGCGTATATATAATGCCAACAACCGAGCCCTGCCGCAAAAAAAGGGAAAAATTGTATTCCTGCCAATCCGAACACGCTTGCAATTTGATTATTTTTCTGAAATTGCTCAGCCCTGGTTCACTGTATGTTGAAATAATCCATCTCAACTGAGAGACAAGTGTTGTATATCGAGGAGGAGCTCATTTTAGTCGGGGTTGCTACTGGAATTTAGGAGAGTCTTTTCCACAGAGCTCGTTCTCTTCTCTTTACTTCCTTGAGGCCAATTCCTATTTCGACACAACTTTGGCACCATTTTGTGCCATCTTAGAGTATTGTGGGAAGAGCGCAACAAACATGAATAAGTGGATTTGTGACAAGAAGAATGCATAAAGAGGCGAGGGATTTCTGTATGGCCGAGGCAAGAAACAAGAATTCCAAAATCAGACGAGCGTCCCAAAATACAAGGTGTGCAGACGCCACCGGGCTTTGTGCAATTCTGAAACAATCCTTCTTGTAGAATAATTGCCGGCTCCCATCACGGCCCATTCATCTACGCTGTCACACACACACACACACACACACACACACACACACACACACACACACGATTACATTCCAGGCAGGTGAACACTGTCATCTTTTCAAAGCACCTGTCTGGGACAGCGTTCACATTTTTTTTTTTTTCCCTTGGAAGCGGGCCTTGCGGCATCACCGTTTGGTTTGATGTCATGCCGGGCGAAAGCGTAGCGCGAGGCGGGGATGCGTTCCTTTGCAATAAGAATGAAATCAGAGGCGTAATTAAGAGAGGACTGAGAGCGCGGGCAAGGTCGGCGCCAAGGAGTTGCAAAACTTGTCACAGTGAGGTGACAAGAAGCCCTTGTGATGACACTGCAGGGATTCAGATGGAGATGAAGATGGATTATGATGGTCAATTAAAAATGTTTGCTCTGCTAAAATATAATCGAAAAACTGCGCGGCCTGGATTGCCAGCTCAACTTGTTCATTACAGTTGGGTCGTTTATCGCGAGTCGCGATTGAATGGGCCTGCAAGTCACATTGCAAACCAGGTGCAAGACTGACAGCAGGCATGTTAAACGTATCACGACCTTTAAACACAATAAAAGTATTTGAACACACACACACACAAAATGCAAACAAAAAATGTACCTGCACATAAAATCCTGCGCGCATTGTAATGTCTGTCTACATGTGATAAAGGTGAGTGTCTGGGTGTGAGCTGTGGTCGACAGCAGCTCTTACGAGAGTGTGCTCATTGTCTTTGTGTGTTACTCTTTTCCCGACGTTTGACAAATGGCTGAATAGTGCATCGTGACCGGCTCTCTGTTACACAAGTTTTGTCTAAAAATACTTTTTAAAGTATTCCTTAGTGTCACTTTTATAGCTGGGGCTCAAACAAAGTGCGAGCCAACGGAATGTGTTGTCATCACACTTTGCCTGGTATCCTTTTTACACAAAACAAAGAAAAAAAAAGACCCCCCAAAAAAAGCCAAACCCACTCATGCAGTTCGTTCTTTGTATTTGGATCTCATTGGTGTTCAGGTGTGCCTTAAGTTGCATCTGATAAGAAATAATCAGTGTCTAAACAATGCCTCAGCTATAGCCAAGAGATAAACTTTGCAGTATTGAAACACCTTTCTTCAAACACAACAATGTGAAATATGAATGCAACGCGCATGAGCTATGATAAAATTGACGCGCCAATCCCCCCCCACCCCAACACACACACACACAAAAAAAATGCAGAAACGCACGCGTAGGTTGCAAAAGGAGCCGTCCATGGCGCTGCAAATAATTGTTTCCGCCTGTAATCCTCCTAAGAGTCTTTGGCAGGGTCGTCGAACTAACTGCCGCTCGGCCGCTGGCAGGAAATCAAAGTCTCACTCCTCCTAATAAGATTATCGTTCACCTCATTGGGGAGTCGCCCAACATTGTCCCGCAATGGAGTGTATTCAAACAGTGTGCATCCGCTGCAACAAAGAAAAAAAAAAAAAGATAAAAAAAGAAAAAGAGTTGCCAAAAACAAAATGGGGGCAACGGGATTGATTTGTAGTGCATGTTCTGTGCCGAAGACAAATGGAAACCTTTGGCTGTTGCCATGCACTTCCTCATTGCGGAGTAGTGAAAGGCTATTTTTAACCAAGAGAACGAGAGCCAACATTAACATTCTACGGACACGTTTGTCAGTGGCTGCTCGTGCAATTGATATGCGGACCTTCGGCGGGGACTTTTAATCCACTTCTATTCACAACACATGACAGGTCACACTGATAGAAATCATCAGTACCGTACAAAAAACACCCCCGCAATATAACAGCGTGCAACTGTGCCGTGTCGATAATTCCAAATGCATATTTATCGCGTTACATGATCAAGACACAAAAAGCATTCTCACTCAGCAGAGATGCTGATGAACTCATGGTCACGAGCACGTTTGAATCACAGATGGCTTCATGTGTCCCTAAATGCAATTTTGACGAAGATAAAAAAAAAAAAAAAAAAAGTCTTTATTCCTTTCATGCACCCTGTAACCTGATCACATGATAAGATGTCCACTGCAGTAACCGCTGTTAGTCAGGTTTTTAAGATATTTTCTTTTTTTTTTTCTTTTTTTTTACCATATGTATGTAATTCTTATCTATGACGTTTCAGGAAAAAAAATCTCCAGACATCGAGGCCAAAATGCCTCTAAATGTGTTTTGGCCTTGCTGCAAGGCGCATCTTGTGTTTATATTTTTATGGCCAAGTGAAGTTATGGCTTATCGGACTCTTCCAACAACAGCGCAGCAAATTACACAGCATTGCTCGGAGCTGCAATTAATCTGTAGCCCCCCCCCCCACACACACACACACACACACTATTTGTGTGTTTAATTATGAAGCCCCAAGGCTCCATTTAATCTCGGGGGGGGGGGTCGCTCTCCCAATGCAGTTTGAGGATGGCCTGTCTTCCATTAAATACAGCAATTGGCTCGTCAATATGAAGTAATGGCGGGTCGATGTGCTTCAACTGGATTGTTTATCATGCTTTGAAATATCGTGAGGGCAAATTTGGATTCCACAGATGTTTTACATTTTTTTTTTTTTTTTTGATAGGCTGTATGGATATACAGTTCGGTTAACTTTTGGATTTAAGTTGTTATCAACAGCCAAAATCAGCAGAACATTTTTTGTTGTTATTATTTTGGAATGTCGATCAAGTTTTCCCCCAGAGGAGACCATGGAAATTGTACTTGGGTCAGGTGTTTACTTTTATTGACTGCACAAACTTTTTTTTTTCAGATGACAAATGGTAAAACCACTGGATTAGAAAAAAAAAATTGGAGGAGACAACCACACGTAGCAAATAATGAGGAGGGGAATCTTGTTTGCTGCCTTTATCATTCCAACCTGTCATACAATCGTGTACTTTGATGATGCAGTGACAAATGTGCTGAGGAGTTTGTTTGTGCCCAGGAAGCAGATCTCGTCACACATAAAAGCTAAAAGTAACTTGTTATGGTTTTCGGTATGTTCATCTTTCCTTACACTGATGAACATTTTTTTGAATCAGAGATGCAAGTGAGCTTTTCGAGACAAATTTGTTGAACTGATTCTGACACTGCCCTTGTTTTTTTTCTCTGGCGGATATTCTTAAAAAAAAAAAAAAAAACTACCGGTACTAATGTGGTAATAGAATATGTAATATTTTTACAGTAATGTTATGAATTAACGGCGAGGTCCATCAACGCGTGGATTTTTTTTTTTTTTTTCTGAAACGTCACAGCTATGAGTTACAACAAAGCATGGTAAAATCCTACTTTGTGGGGGTTCTGATTGAACAAGCATTCACAAGGTTTCGCAAAAGGTCAAATAAAGTTGCGCTGTGCAATGTTTAGGTTCATCCTGAAATGTCACTCAAAGCCAAATATCGCAAACCTTTTGGCAGCGGTGTATGTGCCTTGGTTCAATCAAGATTGGGTAACACAATGACCCACGAGGAGTAGAGACA